GCTATATAGAATCGTTAACCTTGCGTAGTAAGTTCTCTGCAACAACGTCAAAACATTACACAAAAATCTATTAACAAATAGCCAAAATTAAATATCTGTTAATTTGTATATCATGCTATTTTTTTTAATTATATTTCTTAAAATGTGTTTTGTATACATGGGCGTCGGAACCATTGAATGAGGGTGGGACAGGAGGACCCACCCACTTTTGAAGACGAATGATATTGGACCCACCCACTTTTACCGTCTCTAATTCAGCGAATATGTGTACTTTTCAGAGCGCCGTCAGTCCAATCCATTCCACATGACGAATGCCCTAATAAATTAAACTCCATTTAGCCAGTGTTGCCAACTTAGCAATTTTGTTGCTAAATTTAGCAACTTTTCACACTACACTAGCTACTTTTTCTTCCAAAAGCACCTAGCAACAAATTTAGGTATTTTTAAATTTTATTTGGCTGCTTTTAGCAACTTTTGATAAGTGACTCAAACGATAAAAAGGCACACATTTCCATCTAAATTACACAAAATGAGTAAGCCAAAGATGCCTAGCAGTACACACATCACATGAATTAAGTTAGCTGCTATTAGTAATTGCTCAATTTAATAATAATAATTGAATAATTGTTAATTTATGATACACCTTGTTAGTAGCTTGTACCAGCGATCGTTGATCAGTTAATACACTGTAAGAAAAATATCTAGAAAAATGGAAAAGGTACTACTAATTTTCCAGGACATTCTCCATTCTCCATTATTCATTATCCATTGTAACCCAAAAACCCAAAATACAATGCGTAATTTAAAATGCAGGTAAAAAACCTGTGAAAAATCAATCAGGAAAATTCCTTCATATTAACATAGTAGATTGTGCCCTAGTTTACTAGCTAATAAAAAAAATTTAAATTGTAAGCCCTAATTGTTCAAAAATGTGTAAGCGTTCAATAATTCAATGTTGTATTTAAAAATACAGTTATTTATATTTTAATATTATATTACGTTATATTATTTTACAAACAAATCTAATTGAACATATATAAAATATTTTTTTGCTGAGATTTGATGTAGTGACAATTTTGTGTCATAATTACGTAATGATGTCATCGTGTAATGACATCACAACATCATTTAGCAACTTTTAGCAACAAATTGACCTTCCTTTAGCAACTTCGAAAATTAGTTGGCAACACTGCATTTAGCTACAGCCTTGAAATCCACGCTGCTGCTTCCTCAAATCCATTCCATTCGGTTCATTCAGAGACAAATTGACCTTCCTTGACTTCCCCTGAAAATTAGTTGGCAACACTGCATTTAGCTACAGCCTTGAAATCCACGCTGCTGCTTCCTCAAATCCATTCCATTCGGTTCATTCAGAGTCCATATAAATGAAACTCCATTCCGTGTTTTCACTACTCGCGCCTGCTGCACTCCCGCCACACAGCAAAGTAAACAAAGCATCAGCATCTGCTGCTCAAATACACTTAACCCTACCTGATACTTTATTTCAACTTTTCGATTATTTCCTTGATTTTTATTTTTATTGAAAACAAAAGCCTTTCCGATGTGATATGAGATGTAAAAAGGAGAAGAACGATTTCGGCAAAAGGCGGACTCGAACTCGGGTCGCTCGCATCAAAAACACTATGCAACCCGTGTTACAACTTACACCACAGGAAATGTTACTAAACAGCTGTGTTTTGTAATCTTGTCACGTTAGTCAGCGGAGGTGAAGTAAATAGTCTCTGCCAATCAGGCGGCCTATTTGCACTTTGTGTAAATAGACACTGTTAATTAAGAGGCACCACACTACAGAAAATGGCATATACTCCAGTATATTTTTTCCGGGGGAGGACCCACCCACATTTATTTTGCTTCTGACGCCCATGTTTATATATATATATAAGTATATTAAATATATATATATTAAATTACTGAGTGCATTACAGGTTTTAGCCTGTAAACAGGTTTTAGTCTGTTTTAGCATTACAGTATTATGTAGGAGGTGAGTAGGCTATGCAAGTTTGGTAAACAAAATGAATTTTTAAATTCTTTCGGAGATTAATTTATATAATCGAAAAAGCCACCATGACATTACTTGTATGGCCGTAGTCCATAACAAACTACCAACAGTCAGAAGCAGCACTTACGTGTATTAGGTTTCTAATCCTCTTATGATAAGACCCGTGCACCGCTCTTGATTGGAAGCCCCGGTATCCGGATATGAGCGTCACTCAATCAGCATCAAGCGCAACAGCAGCCGCTCTGGGAAATGCCCACAGAATATCCAAACTGTCCGACGGACTTTGATGCGAGTGAGATGATCTTCCTATAAATTGCGTACAGTCGCCTTCACTTCACCGGCGATGTAACTTCTAGTGCTGTGAAATAATTATGTAAGAGAACAAACCGGATTGCTTGTACCTGCGATATCCCAAGGACATAATGTTTTCGGCTGTCCCTCGAACGGGATATGTGGTCTTTTGCGTGGTAAATCCAGTTTTATTTCTCTCGATACGTGACATATTTACTGAGAGAGCAGCACGTGCTCGGCAAGTTGAACAATGCTGCAGACTGTTGACATGCTTTAACTTTATTGCTGTTACTTTGCCTTTCAAAACTGCGCAAACTTGTTGAACTGCTTTTGAACACCAAAATAGCCCTGTGTTAATAATCAGCTAACAAACTATTAAATATAAAGAAAACAAATCTGAAAAGAAAGAGCCATGATGTCAACTGTGCTTGGTGTAGTTTCAGCGCTTACAGTATATCTCTCTATCTGCTACTATTTTGTCAGAAACGTGTTAATAAGAAAGCTTTTTTGGTGAAATGTACTATTTAAATGCAATTCCAACTTCTGAACTAAATAGCAAGCCTTGTTTCTCAAAGAGCTGACCAAGCACACTGCATTCTTGTGGCAAATGCAATCTGTTTTCAGGTCATCACAGGATAATCCCTCACTGTTCTTTTCACATCGAACACAATAATGCATGTTTAAGTCCCTCTGTGCTTTTGAAAGATGTGGTTGTGCATTCAGCAGTAGGCTAATTCTTACTCAAGATCAGCTGCTGAGTGCCTTGCAATCCTTGTATTAAAGGAATAGGTCACTCAAAAATGTACATTTCAGACACTTTATTGCCATTGTTGGCTGTTTTTGCTCGATTTGGTTAACGAAAATAGATCCAAATAAAGATATTTATACATTCTAGAAATTCAGATATTTTAGTACATCATACATAACTGTATTAATGCTCTCTGTTTTTCCCCTGATTTGTTTGTGTGTGTTTGTGTAGATTTTAGTCCTGACTTGTTCCCTGTACCCTGTGCTGAAGACACTGTGTGTTCAGATCCACTCTGCTGTCACAGGAAGCTATGTGGCTGGATATCACTCTGTGCTGCTTGTCAACTGTCCCACAGAACAAACTGCTAGAGACATTGGCAGGTATTGTACTTGCATACAGTGATACAAAGTTACAAACTCACACAAGGAAATAAATATACAGGATTAGAAATAAGAATAAGCTTCATTGTAGCTAATAAGTGACATACTTTGTCTTCAGCCAGCAGGTGATAAGGGTGTGTAATGTTTACAATTTGCATGTGACAGTCAGTGACATACAGTACACAGGGATGTGATTTTTCCGTATTTTCTGACCTCAGTGGGATGACCCCGTGTAAATTGCTTAAATCCAATAGTGATGGGAAGTTCGGATCATTTTACTGACTCGGATCTTTGAATCTCGTTCAGCAAAATAACGAATCCTTTTTCAAGTCATTTCGTTCATTTCAGCAGAATATAGTTAAAATGTTACATGTTTATATCCAAATTCCCAACACATCTATTTACACAAACATTGATCACATTATATAAAATATAATGCAGCCAAGATCAAATTATTACCTAGTTATTACCAAGACCTAATGATTAAATTATTACCACATTCGTTATGGAAAAGAACCATCACAGAAATTCACAAATTTATAAATTGTAAGAAATAAAAAGCTATAAAGCTCAAATAAAAATTGAAACCAGAAAAATTACGTAACTGTAAGAGTAAAGAAACAAACTACGTGCTTGTTTGTAAGGAAGGTTGGGAATTATTAACTAATTTCTGTATCCATTGCTGCTCTCACGTCACGTGACAAAAGAACGAACGACTTGGACCCGAAGACTCGAAAGGCTCAGCAGAAGTGCACATCGAGGGTGCATAGTGGCCACAAAGAGGGCGCTCGCGAGCACCCATCTGAAAGCTAAAATGACGAATGGGACACTCTACGGTCTGGTGGACTAAACGGACACATGCATGCAGCGGCCATTATTAGTCCTCAAGACCGAAAGTGCACATTAAGTGAGCCATTTGGGACAGGGCCCTAGTCTATGAGGCTGTCACGTGATGAACGAACAACTCATACCCGAAGACGTATGAACTAATCATTTTTGTTTCCTGCGCAGAACCTATTGGATGTTGCGCATACGCGGTCAGCACCAAATGAATGAATCCCTCGCTCAGACAACTCGTCATTCCCAAGTCATATTATAGATTCATTCAAAATGGGGGGATCGCGTGCGTCATCGTCATCCAACCCGCCAACTGAATCCTTGGCGCTTTCAACGCTCTTATGTCTTGCTTTAATAAATGTAAATATATTTGATAAATGCAAATAAATACTGTTCATTGACTTTTCTATTTATCAAAGAATCCTGAAATATAAAACGTATCCCCATTTCCACACAAAATATCAAGCAGCACAACAGTTTTCAACATTGATAATTAGAAATGTTTCTTGAGCATCAAATCAAACTGTGAGGATTTCCAAAAGATCATGTGACACTGTAAACTGGAGTAATGATGCAGAAAATTATGCTTTGCATCACAGGAATAAATAACATTTTATAATATATTAAAATATAAATGTTCTTTTTAAAAAATTTTTGTACTTTTTTGTTTTTACAGGACAATAGTATCTATTATTACAATATAAGATATCTTTTAATGTGCTAAAATATCAGTGTTTCCCACAGACTTACACTCTATGTGTGGTGGCACTTCCCCTGGGGGAAATATGTATGTATATAATGTAAATATAAAACAGCAGTCGGGCTTATTGAAAGTGCAGATTCGTTCTCTGCCAGCAGGACATTCATATAAAAACACCCGTGCCGCGTTTTGATTTTGAAACAGTGCTCATGTTTATTCAACAAAATCAAAGCCTTTTGGAAAATCGGTTTCTGGCGGTCAGTGTTGGAAAAAAAAAAATCAATGTATGGGAAACCCTGTATATATATATATATATATAATATTATTATTATTTTATTTTTTTAATGGCTCAATTTGTTTTAGCCATCTGTATGACCTAAATTCTGCTTTTTTTGTCTCTAGCTGATCACATGCTTGAGTACAATAAATGTATTCTGTTACATGTTATTAGAGTTTATTCTGAATTAAAGTTGATTTACAATGGCATATAGCCCCCAGGAAAGAACTTGAGAACACTGACCTATTGTTTTTTACCTCACAAAGTTAACCACTTTTTTTTTCATTTCCTGCTCCTGAATACAGGAAGTGTCTAGACCAAAAATCCAGACTGATTTGTAGTACTGACATAAGCAAATGCTCCACTGTTTTATGGTTGTTACACACAGTGTAGTCTTTTAAACTATTTAGCGATCAACTGGAACTTGTATGTTTTATTTTATCATAATCTTAAAAAAATAATTAACACAACAATGGTTTGACAAAAGAAGGCATCTCTTCTTTTATTGGATGCCTGGATGTATAAGGCAAATCTTGTGCCAACCTAAGTACAAAAATACCAACGTGCTTGTTATTTGCTCAAGCTAGAGTTTAAAAGAAGCACACATTTTGTGACAATAGAAATAATATTTGGTGAAATATATCACTTTCATTAAAAAAAACAAAACAAATTTGTCATGTTGCCATTGTCATACTACTCAACAGTGCTAGTTGTGTTCCTTCACTGTTATTGATAACTCCTCTCCCATAGCCTGTAGTTCTGTGGGCTACACTTCGTTCACCTGTAAAACTGTCAGAACTCAACATTTTGTGAAATGTTGTACATCTTGGCATGTTTAGTGACAAAACTGCACATTCTGGAATTGAGTAACATTGCCTCTTAAATAGCTTTCCCCTTTTGACAGCTTCCTTTATATGGCCAGCACCAAGATAAATACAGTGTCGTCTGCACCCATATTTCCACTGAAGTACAATATTTGTTTGTGGATGCCATGTGGTTTGTGTCAACAGACAATTAATTGCAATAATAAGATGTAAATATCAGATGCAAAGTTTCTAGTGCCCCCAGATTGTTTTTATTATCAAAATAATACTGTATGTAGTTATATACAGTAATAGTACTCTGCAATACAGTCCAGTCTTGTTTCCATGGACACAGAAATTGTTACAGTAAGCTATCCTTTGCATTGACTTTAATATTTTATTTAATTGCTAGGCTGTCCAATACATTTGACAATAGTTTTTGTGGAACTTGCAAAACTTCACCATGATTCATGTCATGGAGCATCTCAACCTGAGCTTCATATTCCCTCTGTTACATTAGGATTCATTTTCCCATTATACTCTTGTTAAAGAGCACTTTACAGTGGTTAAGTCATTAGAGTGCACTCCAGACGAGTAACCTCATCAAAGTGGAGCAGTTCTTGAGGTTCAGAACCAACCAAGTGTGAGGGCCCTTTTGCTTCTTTCTGATCCAGGAGTAATAATCCATCCAGTTTCTTTAATAAAGCATGAATCAGGAACATAGGCAAACAAAAATTAGATCTTTTGAGAGTGCACTCTTAAGGTCTGGAGTATGGAATGATACCTTGCCAAGGTCAGAAGAATCCTGCATAGGTCATATTGATCGAGTGAGGGAATATAAAGAGAAGGGAGGATGATCAGCGTAATGTAGTATGGTAGGTAGTATGAGGTAATGGCAGATGCATCAGGAAAGGGGAGAGGCAGCAGGTACATTTTCAGTTGACTAGGCCGCGGCTGCACTGCACAACTAAAGCCCCGTTCACACTGCCAGCGACTTTTTCGCTGTATGTCGCTAGACAGTAAGCAGACTGCACGTCTTGATATATCTTTAGAAAATGCAATCACAAACTATATATATTGCCGGTAAAACTAAGATATCATTCTAATATGACTAGGAATTAGACTTAAAAGAAATAAAAGTACCATTCTGCTGTTGGAGAGTGTTGTTATATAAACTACAGAAGTGCTCGTGCATTAAATCATTAACCGGTGCTAAACTGCTCACTGCATCATGTAATTAACAACTCGAACCATCAATGTATGAATCAAACTCCCTTAAACAGCCAACAGTTTCTTTTCTACGCATCATTTTTTTAATATCCATGTATGTGGTTACAGTCAAATCATATAAAACAGTGAAATCGATCAGGAAATCTGTCCTGTATTGCCTGCACTCGAATCGGTGACGTGTGAGCGCCACTGACTGATTCTTCACTCCTATTGGTTGTCGCTCACGCAATTCGCTGTTCATTTGCATAAAGTGAAACATTTATAAGAAAAAACACAAATCAACCATAGTCCAGCATAACACAGTCTAGTCCACGTTCCTGGGCCATCCTCCATACCATCAGTAGATACAGTTAGTGTATCTTTTTATGCAAAATGTAAGTTTTCAGTTCAAGAGTATGGAAGCTTGTCTGCCACGGAATAGGTAATTGTGACTTTTTATCTCACAATTCTGACTCTTTTCTCTC